AGATGTCTCTTTTCAAGCCTGAAGAGCTTTTGCTTATTTAGCTGTTTTAGTGTATTTAGCTGAACAGGCTCAAGATTAGAACTGTACCCAGTACTGCAAGAGTACATGTAAAAAATTTGTTCTATGTGTAACATTAATTTGTGCTCAGAATTATACGAAGAGGGTTCAGGATTAATTTAATACAAATTCTTGAATATGTCTTTACAGCTTTGTCAATTAAATCTAATTTTTTCTCATCATCTTCTAAATCTCATTAAACATCCACACAGCCCAGTTTCCTCTTTTTGTGCCAAACATTTAATTACTCAACTGTATAAAGCCCTAGTTTGTTAATCATTGTTCCTTCAAATTTTATTCTGTTCATTCCATGCACCAAAAACATTGGTCACAATTGGCTGACCCGTTTTGCATACAAAATACACAGTCACTTCACAGCATATTCTGTGAAGCGCTTTGAGACATCTCAACGTGATAAGGCACTATATCAAATGTAAGGATTATTAGCATTATATGAATATATATTTATTTTGTGGAAACCATTCTGACTGCTCCCTCCACTTGGCCTGTTCCATGTCCTCCGCCCTCCCCACACCACTAAAGGCATACGGCCTTCAGCTTTTCTGCCCCCATCTCTAGAACCCCATCCCCGAATCCCTCCACATCACCCCCTCCCTCGTCTTCTTCAATGCTTGTCTCAAGACTTTCCTTTCGGCCACACTCCCACCCCCCTACCCTCAAATCTCTCGATTCCAACCTCCAGGTCGGGTGCAAAGCCTTAAACTGTCCATCTTGGAATGTCCTTCCAACGTGAAAGGCGTTACATGAATGTAATTTGTTATTGTATTACAGACAAAATAATAAGGCCATTGAAACTACATATTTACAACAATTTCACTTGTAGTGCAGCCAGACAATTCTTCCTTGGAATTATTTCACCTCTGTCACATTTTGTGACATTGCCAGATTACTAAGATTATGTATGTTTCTCATACCTAATTTTTAAATTCAGACGATACAAACACATATTGCTTTAGACCACTAAGAAAAGCCTTATTAGAAAATGGTTGTGGCACAGAGACCTAGGTCTCTCAATTACTGGACAGGATATATCATTAATTATAACATCAGTATTTTGGAACTCCAAATGATGAATACACATCTGGAATTAAACTGGGAACAGTTTAATACCAATATTCCAAGTTAATGAAATAGAATATTTCTTTATTTCAATGTGAAACGTGTTGTAATACATTGGAATAGAAAAGGGTGGAATTTCACAATAACTTGCAGGTATATAGCATCCTTCACACAGGAGTGTCTCAGAGCACAACCACGTGCAATCATCAGAATAGCTAAAACAGAGAGGAAAATGTATTGAGTGAAACCCCACCCAATTAAAATGCACTGTTCAATAGACAGCAAATAGAAACCCAGCTTGATTCACTTAAATGGGGCAACCTAAATGGATTCTATAAATCCTCACTGATTTGTGGAAACCACTAGCAGGGTACAATTTGCTCTTCTGAGGTTCAAGACACACGTCTGTTGCAATATTTGCATGATGTTTTAGTCTGAGTTCACTTTATCACCTTGCACACAAAAAGTCGCTGCAACTCAGTCGTGGAGGTAACTGAATTTACCATTGGCTTGTTTATCATGCATCTGTAGGGAGATGAAGAGTGGATCTCAGGGAGAGGAAATAGACTCCCTGTAGAGCAATCAAACAACAGCACCAACTGTCTGGAAAGGTGCACAGCCCAGATGATGCCAACCAAACAGGGAAGCAATGCTTATAATGGGTATTTTGTTACTTTGTTGCAGGATCTGAAAACTGTTTGTATACTAATTAATACTAATTTCATAATTACTTTGCAACACCCGATGCAGACCCTTAACAGATTCTCTTTTATAATTTCAAATTGAAAGACATGTACAAATGTTTCTCCTGTAGCTAGCTGAAACTACAATCCTCCTTATAATGGATGCTATTTATGAGACGCTGTGAGAAAGGTTTAGAATGTAAACGTATAGTTTGCATCTTATTTTGACTGCTGCTTGTGTAATGGGCATTTTACTTCTCTGCCAACCAGATCAAAGGATTGCTGAAATAACCATGTTGTAAATGGAAGATAAATAGCTTAAAAAAGATTAGTTTCAAAACTGGCCTTTGAAATACAATTATTTTACAGAGCAACAAAAGTGCAGTGTTTGAGAACATTGCATAAACATTGTTACTGTTTCCTATCCCTGGTTAAATATTGCCAGTTCATGTTCTGAACATGCTTGTAAAATATCGGATAGGTTTCATACAAACTACAGTATTTGCATTTCATTTCAGAAGCTTTATTTTACTTGTCACATTTTCGCTTTCAGTTGGCTATTTTGTGGAGTTGAGCTCTTTGCTAAGTAGACTAATGGATGATTAAGCGTCAGCTGTGTTCACATGACTGAACTATGGCTATGCAAAACCACAAATGGTTAGTGAAGTCACTGTTGAAATAAACTGAAACACACTGAAAGCTTACTTTCAAACTTAACATTTAAACCATTTCCAGATACAAGTCCTTAGCTCAGTGGTTAGAGCACTCGCTTTGCAAGCGAGAGACCTGAGTTCAATTCCAGGCAGAGGGCGAAACCTTGGGCAAGTTTCCTTACTCCACACAGAGCCTAATAATAATCCCTCCAAAAAACAAAAAAAAACAATAATAAATTGGTCATTTTCAATCTACGACTGTTTGTGGGGCATTGCTGTGTGCAATTGGCTGCCGCGTTCGCCCACAAATATACAGTCAATTCACTTTACAGTGTGTTCTGTGAAGCGCTTTGGGACGTCCTCCCGATGTGAAAAGCGCTATATCAAATGCAAGGATTATTATTATTGTTGTGCGCAATTGGCTGCCGCGTTCGCCCACAAATATACAGTGAATTCACTTTACAGTGTGTTCTGTGAAGCGCTTTGGGATGTCCTCCCAATGTGAAAAGCGCTATATCAAATGCAAGGATTATTATTATTACAAGGTTATTGTGCATGAACACAGTAGTGTAATATTCTCATTCTAAAACTGTACAGGGTTAAAAAAAACTAGATTTGTCTAAAGCAGCAACATTATACCCAAATCCACATAGGGAACAAGCAATAATCCTATGTGATTATTACTGTGATTATGTGATTACATTTGTTCAGATCGATGAACGACCACCTTTCAATATCATTGTAACACTGAACCTTATTCATGCCCTTCCCAATCAATTTCGGATCCCGTTATTGACATCAAAAGGGCAAATAATTTGTTCCCGTTTTTTCAAAGCTTTCTGAAGCTTCCTTCCTAAAAAAAGCAGAAACTGGCAAACCCTTTTTTGTTCATTTGAGTAGAGAGAGAGAGAGAACTGTGGACATTTCAATATGCCACATGCATATGCATACAATTTACATTTATGTAATTATATACCACTCATCACTGTTGCAAAAAGTGATTCAATGGAGTTTAGTCATTGAACTGCACGCCTGTACAAAAATAAAAGGTGACCTGTCCTCCCCCCATAACTTGGTGCGTCTTTAATGAAACTAAAAGTTAGATTGGAAATTTAGATTTTTTTCTTAAAAAAGACAAGCCTGCTACAAACTACTGCAAACACTGTACTGTTGTGGGGCTGTATACCGGAGTGACCAGACACCCCGATTTCCAGGGACAGTCCCCAGATTAGGTATTGTGTTCCTGGGGAAGGGGAGAGGAGGGGGTGAGAGAGGAGGGGGGAACAGAGAGGGGGGGAGAGGAGGGAGGAGGGGGGAGAGGGTCGGAGAGAGAGAGAGGAGGGGAGAGGGGAGGGGGAGAGAGGGGGGAGGGGGGAGGGGGAGAGAGGGGGGAGGGGAGAGAGAGGGGGAGGGGAGAGAGAGGGGGGAGGAGAGAGAGAGGGGAGGGGAGGGGGAGAGAGGGGGGGAGGGGAGAGGGGAGGGGGAGAGAGAGAGGGGGGAGGGGAGAGGGGAGGGGAGAGGGGAGGGGGAGAGAGAGAGGGGGGAGGGGGGAGGGGGAGGGGGAGGGGGAGGGGAGAGGGGAGGGGGAGATAGAGGGGGGGAGGGGAGAGGGGAGGGGGAGAGAGAGGGGCGGAGAGGGGAGGGGGGAGGGCGAGAGAGAGAGAGAGGGGGAGGGGAGAGGGGAGGGCGAGAGAGAGAGGGGGGAGGGGAAAGGGGAGGGGGAGAGAGAGAGGGGGAGAGAGAGGGGGGGAGGGGAGAGAGAGAGAGGGGAGAGGGGAGGGGGAGAGAGAGAGGGGGGAGAGGGGAGGGGGAGAGAGAGAGGGGGGAGAGGGGAGGGGGAGAGAGAGAGGGGGGAGAGGGGAGGGGGGGAGAGAGAGGGAGAGGGGGAGGGGAGGGGGAGAGAGAGAGGGGGGAGAGGGAGGGGGAGAGAGAGAGGGGGGAGAGGGAGAGGGAGAGGGGGGAGAGGGAGAGGGGGAGGGGAGGGGGAGAGAGAGGGGGGAGAGGGGAGGGGGAGAGAGAGAGGGGGGAGAGGGAGAGGGGGGAGAGGGAGGGGGGAGGGGAGGGGGAGAGAGAGAGGGGGGAGGGGAGGCGGGGAAGAGTGGGGAGAGAGGAGGAATGAGGGGGGGGAGGAGGGGGGAGAGAGGGAGAGAGGAGGGGTCGGAGAAAGAGGGAGAGAGGAGAGTGGGGGGAGAGTGGGGGGAGAGAGTGGAGGGAGAGAGGAGAGTGGGGGGAGAGTGGGAGGGAGAGAGGAGAATATACACAAGGCCTCGAGTCACCAAATAAACACAAACAACCAACACAAACCCACCACAGAAACCCTCAGCAGCTGAACCCCCCCACACCCCGACACCCCACACCCCGACACCCCCCCACAGCACCTCACACAGCAACAACACCCACAACAACCAATGGTTAATCAATCAGTCAATCAACACAAAACATTAACTGATCAATCAATGTTAATGGCGGCGCGGGGCCTGCGGGAGGCCGGGCCGGGCAGGGCCGGGCAGGGCCGGGCGCTGCTTACCCGTACACGATGGAGGTGAAGTGCATGAGCCAGAGGATGGTGAAGAGGACGAGGCCGAGGATGGAGAGACCCTGCAGAGCCAGCTCCAGCAGCGCCATCCCGCCCTCCCGCCCGCCCGCCCTCCCTCACGGGATCCCGCGGCTCCTTCCTCTCCGCTCGGCCGCCGCTCCTCCTCCTCCTCCTCCTGTGGCCCCGCACCCAACTGTAGCTCTCGGCACCGCGAGCCCGAGCCCCGCAGCCCCGCAGCCCCGGCCCTGCCCTGCCCCGCCCGAGCCTCCCCGCTCTGTCTGTGTGTGTGTCACTCTGTGCCTCTCACCCTCGGGATTATGTCTGTCTGTCTGTCTGTCGCTGTATGTCTATGTGTTTCTCTATGTATCCCTGTCTGTGTGTCCCTGTCTGTGTGTCCCTGTCTGTGTGTGTCCCTATGTATCCCTGTCTGTGTATCCCTGTCTGTGTATCCCTGTCTGTGTGTCCCTATGTATCCCTGTCTGTGTGTATCCCTGTCTGTGTGTATCCCTGTCTGTGTGTATCCCTGTCTGTGTGTCCCTATGTATCCCTGTCTGTGTGTGTCCCTGTCTGTAAGTGTCCCTATGTATCCCTGTCTGTGTGTCCCTATGTATCCCTGTCTGTGTATCCCTGTCTGTGTGTCTCTCTGTGTCCCTGTCTGTATGTATCCCTATCTCTTTCTATGTCTCTCTGTATCCCTGCCTATGTATCCCTATCTCTTTGTATCCCTGTCTTCCTGGATCCCCGTCTCTATGTCTATGAGATGCAAGGATAATAATAATAATAATGTCTCTCTGTATACCCGTCTATGTTTGTCTCTGTATCCCTGTCTCTATGTATACCAAATACAAGGATAATAATAATGTCTCTGTGTATCCCTGTCTCTGTATATCTATGTATGTCTCTCTCGCTGATCTCTCTCTCCCTCTCTATCAGTGACTATCTATTTCGTTGCCTCTCTCTCTCTCTCTCCATCAGTGACTATTTCGTTGCATGTGACCAGTTCATTTCCCTGTGCGCCTATTTTCCAATAGTTTGTCTGAATGACTCTCTGGATATTGTCTCTCTCTCTCTCTCTGGTCACTCGCTGTGTCTCACACTGTATCTGTTATGGTGTCTCGGACGCTCTCCTCGGTGCAGCCTCGTACCCCCCTGTGCACTCCCTGGTTACTACTGAGTGTCCAAACGCAGCTGCGGCTCCTGTGGGGCTGTTGCTGACTCCGCCCGTTCACTCACTCATGAGGGGCTCTCTCGGCAGATCAGGAAACGGGGAGTTCAGCAGCAATTGGGTGCTTTTCGCTGCGAATAACAAACGAATCGACCTCTCAAGGGAGAGGATGCGATCGGTTTCTTCCCGGATCCCCGGCCATCAGGTTTTTTTTTCTCTCTCTTTCTCTCTCTCTCTTTTGCTCATCGGTGACGATGCACATTTAAGGGGAATCGAGCAGTCTCTGCAGCAGCAGCAGCAGCAGCAAAAAAAGAAGTATCAATGGACTGACTTCGCAGGGAGAGGAAACGTGTTGTGTGCACCTGCTCCGAATTTAGCAAAGCAGTCAGTCGAGTCAAACGGGATCAGCAAAGTGATCAGCTTCTGATCAAACAAACTTCCAGCCAAGCCAGCAGCACAGCAAAGGTCATCTGGTTTTCTGCATCAGCAGTTCACTGGGCTTCAGGGCACTGCTGTAAGTACATTTAATGAGCTTCCCAGGCGAGCAGCGAGGGGATCAGACCCTGAGAAAACACATCTCCTGGCAAGCAAAAATATCCACTCATCAGCAATATCATTCAAATTGCTTCCCACGTTATTCGCGCAGGAGAGAAGGGGAGAAACACCATATCTGTGAACAGAAATGGAAACCTTATACTGACTCATTTGTACTACAATACCAGCATTATGACATAATTTGATTGGGCAATAATGATGGCGTGGAGGTATGTGTTTGGCAATGAAACATGTGAAAGCACACGCCATAAGTCATCTGAAATCAGAACAGAAAGGCTGGAAAAAAAGGCATAATTTAGTATCTGAAAGACAGGTTAACATTTTGGAATGTGACACTCAGTCAGAACTGCAGAGTGGACTGGAGAAGTACATTTAATAACAATAATCCTTGTATTTGATACAGAGCCTTATCATGTCTGAGACATTTCAAAGCACATCACAGAATATACTGTAAAGTGAATTGACTGTATATTTTGTGGCATCCAATTGCACACAGGAGTGTCCCACAAACAGTCATGGATTGAGTGAACAATTTATCATTAATAGTTTTGTGAAGAAATTATTACCCCCGGAAAAGCAACATTTGTGGGGGGAGGCAAGGTAAAAGGTTAGGTACAATTTTAAAAAAAGCACACTGTTAAATGTTCCACCAAGAGACATCTAGTGAGTCATCAACTATTTGTGAAATGCTGAAACGTTGTGTTGAAGGTTTGTACATGATCCAACGGTAACACATTCATGCCAAATTTTCATTTGCAAGTAAAGGTAAGTTCTGACACGATTCAACATTTTGTTCCAAATCAAGTTCTTCGCATTCAGATAGATTTCAAGAAGATACCATAGTTTGGTAGGGTTTGTCTTTTCAGCAACATATATGATTACATTTTCAAGTAGTGTTTTGTTTCTAATAATAATAAGAATAATAATCCTTGCAATTGATATAGCACCTTATCACATTGTTGACGTGTCTCATAGTGATTCACTGGCAAAACACAGCAGCCAATTGCGCACAGCAGTGTCCAACAAACAGTTGTGGATTGAGTGACCAAATTATTATTTTAAGGGATTATTATCCCAGGAAAATGATCTGCCATTCGATTAACTACTGCTAATAACTGCTAGGTAAACAGAGGCGTGTGGAGTAAGGAAACTTGCCTAAGATCTCGCTTGCCCAGGAATCAAACCCAGGTCCTCTCGCTTGCGAGACGAATGCTTTATCCAATATGCTACCGGACTCCACAAATATGAAGAAGATATGTATAGGATAGAGACCACACAATCATTAAAAAAAAGGTACTAGAAATCTACAGAGGAAGATTCATTGAGAATGAAGGCTAGGTTTTGAGTTAGAATTTTATTCGTTCATCAGAAATAGGTGTACTTATTTATTACAGACCATAGAATAGTGCTCGTAATTGTGTGATTTATTTCAATTTTAGTACAGCTATACTGGAAGAAATTTAAAGGAAAATGACAACAAATTACATTTGTATGGTGCTTACACATCAGGAGAACGTGGTTGTCTTTTTAGATTTCTTTCCATCAGTTCCCAGAAATGTGCCTGCCCTCTCCATATTGCAAAGAATACATTCAGTAATATTCTGCTACCTTTGTATTTAAGTTAGACCTTTCTTTAAAACATGGGAGCTTGCTTCCTACATCTCATTTGATCAACATCAAAACAACTATCTTTGTTTCTTGTTTATTTGCCTAAGTTCTTTACAGTTCTTTACTGTGGCATCCTACAATATTTAGTATTGGATCTACAAGGACCACTAAGTCTATTATTTCTATGAGTTAACAAAAGCAGTCACACTAAAATGGCCTAATGCTTAGATTGGATAATGCAGAGTACATGGAATCAGGTTCCCTATCAAGTAATCATCTGAGCTCCCTGGGTCTGCTTTAGGATGCAAACTGGATTTCAGTATGTCTATAAAATATTTTATATTCAACCAATTCTGATTGGCCTGGATGAGCGCAAACTTCTTGCAGTTAAACATCAACAAGATGGAAGCCGTACATTTTGGCTCCTATCGAAGACTTCTGTCCTGAGGTTCAGACCTCCTCAACCTACTCGATTTGTCCTTAAAATTCTCTGAACCCATGTGCAGGTTCGATCCCTAGTTATCCTTCCTCCCCCACATCCGATCCCTGGCCAAGACCACTTTCCTCCACCTCAGCCACATTGCCCGACTCCGACAATACCTCGCCCCAAAAGCTGCCAAATGCTTGTCCATGCCTTTGTCACCTCAGCGAGGCGAAGGGACCATGGGATGGAGTTCCAAAGTGTGGGGGCAGAGAGGCTGAAAGCCCGGCCACCGATGATAGGGAGGGTCGGGCGGGAGACATGGAGCAGACCAGAGCCCGCTGAACAGAAGGAGCGGGCAGGTTGGTAGGGGGCAAGTTGTTGTTGTTGATCATATTTTTCCTGTGGGAAAATGTATCCTCCACCAAATTCCATAATGCCAGGGTGGCCCATGGATTTACAGATATTCTTTTTACACTTTCCTTAACATATTCAAGTGTCTTTGGGCTGCATATTATATGTTAACTTTACTCAATGGTAGAATTCATGCCTCTATAATCCCCAAAAAGGGCAAATTACATCAAGGTTTGAGCTCATAGTTCAAGTATATAAAGTACTGAGCGAGTTCTGCATTGTTCCTCTGGCTCCGGTCTGCTCCACATCCCCAGCCCCAACCGCCCTACTATCGGTGGCCGGGCCTTCAGCCTCTCAGCCCCGAGGCTCTGGAACTCTATCCCCCAGTGCCTTCGCCGCCTCCTCCCTTTCCTCCTTCAAGGCCGGTCTCAAGACCTTTCTCTTTGACCGTGCCTTCAGCTCCCCTCTCGACGTGAAAGGCGCTCAATAAATGGAATCTTGTTGTTGTTGTTGGAGATATCCTTTAAATGGGGCATTAAACCAGGAATCTGTCTGCCTGTTCTGGTGGATTTTTAAGATTCCATGACAGTATTTGTAAAAAAGTTTTCCTTGTCAATAATCATCTAGATTGCATGTCATTAATCCTTTTTGTATGTGTCGAACTAGGTGATCCTCCAGTTAATAAAGTAGCACTGATGGATGGCCTTGTAGACAACTGTGAGTATGCAGGTGGTAAGAAAGACTAACTGGACAGATCAGCACTATTGGTCTCTGGAGCTTTAATCACTGTAATGATACCTACTGTTACTTATGCAATGGCAGAGAACTGCCACAAATATGGAAACACAGATACATTGGAATATACAGCAGCAAAAAAAACAGTGGGCCATCTGTCTGGTTCCAAAGTAAAAATAAATAAATATATTACGCTGCTAATTAATCATACCCCTCAATCAATTACTTGACTAAATAGCTATAATATACAATGATA